GCTGTGTATGTCAGTAGCTGTGTATGTCAGCAGCTGTTTGTCAGCAGCTGTGTGTGTCAGCAGCTATATGTCAGCAGCTGTGTGTGTCAGCAGCTATATGTCAGCAGCTGTGTGTGTCAGCAGCTGTGTGTGTCAGCAGCTATATGTCAGCAGCTGTGTGTGTCAGCAGCTATATGTCAGCAGCTGTGTATGTCAGCAGCTGTGTGTGTCAGCAGCTGTGTGTGTCAGCAGCTATATGTCAGCAGCTGTGTGTGTCAGCAGCTATATGTCAGCAGCTGTGTATGTCAGCAGCTGTGTGTGTCAGCAGCTGTATGTCAGCAGCTGTGTGTGTCAGCAGCTGTATGTCAGCAGCTCTGTGTGTTAGCAACTGTATGTCAGCAGCTGTGTGTCAGCAGCTATATGTCAGCAGCTGTGTGTCAGCAGCTATATGTCAGCAGCTGTGTGTCAGCAGCTATATATCAGCAGCTATATGTCAGCAACTGTATGTCATCAGCTGTGTGTGTCAGCAGCTGTGTGTGTCAGCAGCTATATATCAGCAGCTATATGTCAGCAGCTGTGTGTGTCAGCAGCTATATATCAGCAGCTATATGTCAGCAGCTGTGTGTGTCAGCAGCTATATATCAGCAGCTGTATGTCAGCAGCTGTGTGTGTCAGCAGCTATATGTCAGCAGCTGTATGTCAGCAGCTATATGTCAGCAGCTATATGTCAGCAGCTATATGTCAGCAGCTATATGTCAGCAGCTATATGTCAGCAGCTGTATGTGTCAGCAGCTGTGTGTGTCAGCAGCTATATATCAGCAGCTATATGTCAGCAGCTGTGTGTGTCAGCAGCTATATATCAGCAGCTGTATGTAAGCAGCTGTGTGTGTCAGCAGCTATATGTCAGCAGCTGTATGTCAGCAGCTATATGTCAGCAGCTATATGTCAGCAGCTATATGTCAGCAGCTATATGTCAGCAGCTGTATGTGTCAGCAGCTATATGTCAGCAGCTATATGTCAGCAGCTATATGTCAGCAGCTGTGTGTGTCAGCAGCTGTATGTCAGCAGCTGTGTGTGTCAGCAGCTGTATGTCAGCAGCTCTGTGAGTTAGCAACTGTATGTCAGCAGCTGTGTGTCAGCAGCTATATGTCAGTAGCTGTGTATGTCAGTAGCTGTGTGTGTCAGCAGCTGTATATCAGCAGCTATATGTCAGCAGCTGTATGTGTCAGTAGCTGTGTATGTCAGTAGCTGTGTATGTCAGTAGCTGTGTGTGTCAGCAGCTGTATATCAGCAGCTATATGTCAGCAGCTGTATGTGTCAGTAGCTGTGTATGTCAGTAGCTGTGTGTGTCAGCAGCTGTATATCAGCAGCTATATGTCAGCAGCTGTATGTCAGCAGCTGTGTGTGTCAGTAGCTGTGTATGTCAGCAGCTGTATGTCAGTAGCTGTGTATGTCAGTAGCTGTGTGTGTCAGCAGCTATATGTCAGCAGCTGTGTATGTCAGTAGCTGTGTATGTCAGCAGCTGTATGTCAGTAGCTGTGTATGTCAGCAGCTGTGTGTGTCAGCAGCTATATGTCAGCAGCTGTGTATGTCAGTAGCTGTGTATGTCAGCAGCTGTATGTCAGTAGCTGTGTATGTCAGCAGCTGTATGTCAGCAGCTATATGTCAGTTGCTGTGTATGTCAGTAGCTGTGTATGTCAGTAGCTGTGTGTGTCAGCAGCTATATGTCAGCAGCTGTGTATGTCAGTAGCTGTGTATGTCAGCAGCTGTATGTCAGTAGCTGTGTATGTCAGCAGCTGTGTGTCAGCAGCTATATGTCAGCAGCTGTGTATGTCAGTAGCTGTGTATGTCAGCAGCTGTATGTCAGTAGCTGTGTATGTCAGCAGCTGTATGTCAGCAGCTGTGTGTGTCAGTAGCTGTGTATGTCAGCAGCTGTATGTCAGTAGCTGTGTATGTCAGTAGCTGTGTGTGTCAGCAGCTATATGTCAGCAGCTGTGTATGTCAGTAGCTGTGTATGTCAGCAGCTGTATGTCAGTAGCTGTGTATGTCAGCAGCTGTGTGTGTCAGCAGCTATATGTCAGCAGCTGTGTATGTCAGTAGCTGTGTATGTCAGCAGCTGTATGTCAGTAGCTGTGTATGTCAGCAGCTGTATGTCAGCAGCTATATGTCAGTAGCTGTGTATGTCAGCAGCTGTGTATGTCAGCAGCTGTGTATGTCAGCAGCTGTATGTCAGCAGCTATATGTCAGCAGCTGTGTATGTCAGTAGCTGTGTATGTCAGCAGCTGTATGTCAGCAGCTATATGTCAGTAGCTGTGTATGTCAGTAGCTGTGTATGTCAGTAGCTGTGTATGTCAGCAGCTGTGTATGTCAGCAGCTGTGTATGTCAGCAGCTGTATGTCAGCAGCTATATGTCAGCAGCTGTTTGTCAGCAGCTGTGTGTGTCAGCAGCTATATGTCAGCAGCTGTGTGTGTCAGCAGCTATATGTCAGCAGCTGTGTGTGTCAGCAGCTGTGTGTGTCAGCAGCTATATGTCAGCAGCTGTGTGTGTCAGCAGCTGTGTGTGTCAGCAGCTATATGTCAGCAGCTGTGTGTGTCAGCAGCTATATGTCAGCAGCTGTGTATGTCAGCAGCTGTGTGTGTCAGCAGCTGTGTGTGTCAGCAGCTATATGTCAGCAGCTGTGTGTGTCAGCAGCTATATGTCAGCAGCTGTGTATGTCAGCAGCTGTGTGTGTCAGCAGCTGTATGTCAGCAGCTGTGTGTGTCAGCAGCTGTATGTCAGCAGCTCTGTGTTAGCAACTGTATGTCAGCAGCTGTGTGTCAGCAGCTATATGTCAGCAGCTGTGTGTCAGCAGCTATATGTCAGCAGCTGTGTGTCAGCAGCTATATGTCAGCAGCTATATGTCAGCAACTGTATGTCATCAGCTGTGTGTGTCAGCAGCTGTGTGTGTCAGCAGCTATATATCAGCAGCTATATGTCAGCAGCTGTGTGTGTCAGCAGCTGTGTGTGTCAGCAGCTATATATCAGCAGCTGTATGTCAGCAGCTGTGTGTGTCAGCAGCTATATGTCAGCAGCTGTATGTCAGCAGCTATATGTCAGCAGCTATATGTCAGCAGCTATATGTCAGCAGCTATATGTCAGCAGCTATATGTCAGCAGCTGTATGTGTCAGCAGCTATATGTCAGCAGCTATATGTCAGCAGCTATATGTCAGCAGCTGTGTGTGTCAGCAGCTGTATGTCAGCAGCTGTGTGTGTCAGCAGCTGTATGTCAGCAGCTCTGTGTGTTAGCAACTGTATGTCAGCAGCTGTGTGTCAGCAGCTATATGTCAGCAGCTGTATGTCAGCAGCTGTGTGTGTCAGCAGCTGTATATCAGCAGCTATATGTCAGCAGCTGTATGTCAGCAGCTGTGTGTCAGCAGCTATATGTCAGCAGCTGTATGTCAGCAGCTGTGTGTGTCAGCAGCTGTATATCAGCAGCTATATGTCAGCAGCTGTATGTCAGCAGCTGTGTGTGTCAGCAGCTATATGTCAGCAGCTGTGTGTCAGCAGCTGTGTGTCAGCAGCTATATGTCAGCAACTGTATGTCATCAGCTGTGTGTGTCAGCAGCTGTGTGTGTCAGCAGCTATATATCAGCAGCTATATGTCAGCAGCTGTGTGTGTCAGCAGCTGTGTGTGTCAGCAGCTATATATCAGCAGCTGTATGTCAGCAGCTGTGTGTGTCAGCAGCTATATGTCAGCAGCTGTATGTCAGCAGCTATATGTCAGCAGCTGTATGTCAGCAGCTGTATGTCAGCAGCTATATGTCAGCAGCTGTATGTCAGCAGCTGTATGTCAGCAGCTGTATGTCAGCAGCTGTATGTCAGCAGCTGTATGTCAGCAGCTATATGTCAGCAGCTATATATCAGCAGCTGTATGTCAGCAGCTGTATGTGTCAGCAGCTATATGTCAGCAGCTATATGTCAGCAGCTATATGTCAGCAGCTGTATGTCAGCAGCTATATGTCAGCAGCTATATGTCAGCAGCTATATATCAGCAGCTATATGTCAGCAGCTATATATCAGCAGCTGTGTGTGTCAGCAGCTGTATGTCAGTAGCTGTGTGTGTCAGCAGCTATATGTCAGCAGCTGTATGTCAGCAGCTATATGTCAGCAGCTATATGTCAGCAGCTATATATCAGCAGCTATATGTCAGCAGCTATATATCAGCAGCTGTGTGTGTCAGCAGCTGTATGTCAGTAGCTGTGTGTGTCAGCAGCTGTGTGTCAGCAGCTGTGTGTCAGCAGCTGTGTGTGTCAGCAGCTATATGTCAGCAGCTATGTGTCAGCAGCTGTGTGTGTCAGCAGCTGTGTGTCAGCAGCTGTATGTCAGCAGCTGTATGTCAGCAGCTGTGTGTGTCAGCAGCTGTATGTCAGCAGCTGTGTGTGTCAGCAGCTATATGTCAGCAGCTGTGTGTGTCAGCAGCTGTATGTCAGCAGCTGTGTGTGTCCGCAGCTGTATGTCAGCAGCTGTGTGTGTCAGCAGCTATACGTCAGCAGCTATATGTCAGCAGCTGTGTGTCAGCAGCTATATGTCAGCAGCTGTGTGTGTCAGCAGCTGTGTGTCAGCAGCTGTATGTCAGCAGCTGTATGTCAGCAGCTGTGTGTGTCAGCAGCTATACGTCAGCAGCTGTGTGTCAGCAGCTGTGTGTCAGCAGCTGTATGTCAGCAGCTGTGTGTGTCAGCAGCTGTGTGTCAGCAGCTGTGTGTCAGCAGCTGTATGTCAGCAGCTGTGTGTGTTAGCAGCTATATGTCAGCAGCTGTGTGTGTCAGCAGCTATATGTCAGCAGCTGTGTGTCAGCGGCTGTGTGTCAGCGGCTGTGTGTCAGCAGCTATTCATCAGCAGCTATATGTCAGCAGCTATATGTCAGCAGCTATATGTCAGCAGCTATATGTCAGCAGCTATATGAAGACAGTTTGATACTACGCTTTGGCAGATTTTCCTATCAAATTGATTCCTGCTTAATTTATATTCTCTTTGTCCGTTTCAGGTGTTTGCTTCAGAATGGTGAGTTTCTTCCTAAACTAATATAAATATATAGAAATTTACAGCATATACTATACTATACTATATATATAAGGGATGTCAGCATTAATTAGTTAATTGCCATAAATTAAGTTATGAAATTAATGCATTAATTTTTTTAATCCCCATCTCGTGCTATTTTGTCCCTTCAGGCACACCATAGATAACCCTCCTCTGTGTCTCCCTGTAGTGAAAAAAATCATCTTTTTAGTCTTAATATATACACTCATCGGCTACTTTATTAGATACAGCAGTTCAACTGCTTGTTATTGCAAATATCTAATCAGCCTATCACATGGAAGCAACTCAATGAGCTTAGGCATGTAGACATGGTCAAGGCGATCTTCTGAAGTTCAAACCGAGCATCAGAATGGGGAAGAAAGGTGATTTAAGTGACTTTGAACGTGGCATGGTTGTTGGTGTCAGACAGACTGGACTGAGTATTTCAGCAACTGCTAATCTACAATGATTTTCATGCACAACCATCTCAAGAGTTTACAGAGAGAAAGTGAGAAGCGGTTCTTTGGGCAAAAATGCCTTGCTGATGCCAGAGGTCAGAGGAGAATGGCCAGACTGGTTTGAGCTGACAGAAAGGCAACAATAACTCAAATAACCCCTCGTTACAAGGGGTCCCTGTGTACTAATTGAGCATCATTTAAATGCCACAGCCTACCTGAGCATTGTTGCTGACCAACCCTTTATGACCCGTCTTCTGATGGCTACTTCCAGCAGGATAACGCACCATGTCTCATAGCTCATATCATCTCAAACTGGTTTCTTGAACATGACCAGAGCCAGCTCTTGGCATAGGCCATATAGGCGGTCGCCTAGATCGCCACATGCTGGAGGGACGTCGCTGAAGCTCCCCTCTGAAGGCAAAAGGGGGTCCAACCTGGTACTAGCAAGGTGTACCTAATAAAGTGGCCGATGAGTGTATACGAATGACGATGTTTGTGTCTCTCAGTACACGGAGGATCAGGGTCAGTCTCTGGGTCTAAGTGGTTGGGTGAAGAACACCAAACAGGGTACCGTGATTGGACAAATCCAGGGACCACCTGATCAAGTCCATGACATGTGAGTCAACAAACTGACCACTCAGAGAACACGTGAGTCTGCACTGACCAATCACCCCTTTTTCATAAAAGTGAACCTGGGGCTGATGGTGCATTCATGTGGCGTCTGACACATCGGAAAAACAAGTTTTTGGAGTTGTAAAATGCATATGAATGCCTGCTCAAGTCGGAGCAACAACTCGGAAACTGGGAAAATAATTAGGTGCCCGATTTCCCGACTTGACGTCAGAATTGTCATCAAGTGGTGGTCAAAATATGTTTTGTTTTTGTCATAGGGTGTTAGCTAATCTCAGGCTTTGCTAGTCTTAGCCTTTTATTAGCATCAACGATGCTAATAAAGTTCCGAATCAAACTGCAGGAATTAAAACTATGTTTATCTCTTAAGTCCTGTAACAGCAAAGTTTTGCAGGGTTTTATTTTGGTCACTATAGCCGCTGTGAAATTCTTGAAAGAAGAAATTCTTTCATGTAGACCAGCAAGGAGTTGGTGCTACTCTGGAACTTTTTTTTTCTTGTCAAGAGCCGGTTCTTTCGCAGGCTAAACAGAAAGAACTGTTTCCAGATTAGGCACTGCGGCTTTGGACCAGCTCTAGAACCGACTTGGTGGGAAAGAGGGTATATCAGAGAACCCATGTGAGTCCACATACTGACCAATCAGAGAACACATGCCAGTCCACATACTGACCAATCAGAGAACACATGCCAGTCCACATACTGACCAATCAGAGAACCCATGCCAGTCCACATACTGACCAATCAGAGAACACATGCCAGTCCACATACTGACCAATCAGAGAACCCATGTGAGTCCACATACTGACCAATCAGAGAACACATGCCAGTCCACATACTGACCAATCAGAGAACCCATGTGAGTCCACATACTGACCAATCAGAGAACACATGCCAGTCCACATACTGACCAATCAGAGAACACATGCCAGTCCACATACTGACCAATCAGAGAACCCATGTGAGTCCACATACTGACCAATCAGAGAACACATGCCAGTCCACATACTGACCAATCAGAGAACCCATGTGAGTCCACATACTGACCAATCAGAGAACACATGCCAGTCCACATACTGACCAATCAGAGAACCCATGTGAGTCCACATACTGACCAATCAGAGAACACATGCATGTCCACATACTGACCAATCAGAGAACACATGCCAGTCCACATACTGACCAATCAGAGAACACATGCCAGTCCACATACTGACCAATCAGAGAACACATGCATGTCCACATACTGACCAATCAGAGAACACATGCCAGTCCACATACTGACCAATCAGAGAACACATGCCAGTCCACATACTGACCAATCAGAGAACACATGCATGTCCACATACTGACCAATCAGAGAACACATGCCAGTCCACATACTGACCAATCAGAGAACACATGCCAGTCCACATACTGACCAATCAGAGAACACATGCATGTCCACATACTGACCAATCAGAGAACACATGCCAGTCCACATACTGACCAATCAGAGAACACATGCATGTCCACATACTGACCAATCAGAGAACACATGCATGTCCACATACTGACCAATCAGAGAACACATGCATGTCCACATACTGACCAATCAGAGAACACATGCATGTCCACACTGTTGTTTTTGTTTCTTTGTTTCTTCTCAGGAAACTGTGGCTGACGAATGTTGGCAGTCCGAGCTCTCGGATCGACCGAACCGTCTTCTCCAACCAGAGAGACATTTCTAAACTGGAGATCCACGGCTTCTCCACCCGCTACTGAGCATGCTCAATTGATCAGAGAGTTGATCCCAATTCATAGTAGCACACAAACAATAATTAATCCAGAGAAACTGACGGAAAATTTTACATTTCTATAATAAAAAAATTAGATCAAACAGAAATTAAATGTTTGAAAATAAACAAAAACAATGTTGTGAAATGTTACTTTCTCCTTTCATGATAATAAAGTGAACTGCTCCTTTAATGAACTGCTCCTTTAATGATAATAAAGTGAACTGTTCCTTTAATGATAATAAAGTGAACTGCTCCTTTAATGATAATAAAGTGAATTGTTCCTTTAATGATAATAACATGAACTGCTCCTTTAATGATAATAAAGTGAACTGCTCCTTTAATGATAATAAAGTGAACTGTTCCTTTAATGATAATAAAGTGAACTGCTCCTTTAATGATGATAAAGTGAACTGCTCCTTTAATGAACTGCTCCTTTAATGATAATAAAGTGAATTGTTCCTTTAATGATAATAACGTGAACTGCTCCTTTAATGATAATAAAGTGAACTGCTCCTTTAATGATAATAAAAATCAGAGGATTGAAGGTTTTTATCAGACAGCTTTATTATTTTTCAGTCTCTTTTCGGCAGGTAAATCACTGACCAACAGACCAATCAGAGATCGGGGAGGGGCCACAGTGTCTGCAGGTCAGGTTACCAATCAGAGGAGGGGGAGGGGCCACCATGTCTGCAGATCAGGTTACCAATCAAAGGAGGGGGAGGAGCCACAGTGTCTGCAGATCAGGTTACCAATCAGAGGAGGGGGAGGGGCCACAGTGTCTGCAGATCAGGTGGTCAATCCGTTTTAGTTCTCTTCACTGCTCCAGGTAACCTGTCGTGTAACCTGGAAAAAACACACACACACACACACACACACACACACACACACACACACACACACACACACACACACACTGTGAGGGACTGTGTGTGTGTTTGTAGTTGGTATTTTCTAATGTTCTGTTCATGAAGTGATGTTCTTCTGTTTTAGTGTTCTGTCATTAAAATGTCCTCTTGCTCTCGTGTGGTTCTGTTTCCATGTTCTGTTGTTCTGCTGTTCTATGTTCTCCTGTTCTAACGTCCTGTTGTTCTATCTCACTCAGGAGTTTATTGAGATCTAATCACTGTGGGGACTTTATTTCTGTCTGCATTCACACCGCCGTGGAACCTACTCTGAAGCAGGAGCTAAAAAGGTTCCACTAAACCGGGTTCTAGGAACTTAAAATGTCCATAGTTTCTGTGGTGCAGGATCAGTATAAAAAGGGGAAGGGTCTGCTAACATGTGGATGTGTTTTTCTATTATTGTTATTTAATGGTTCTCGTGGAAGCAGCTGAATGTTTGCAGCACTTTGAGTCCAAGACAAACGTCACCAAGGAGACGATAAAGTGTGTCGTAATGATCCGTTGTTCTTCTATTAACTCACTTCTGCAGCGTCGCCTCCACTCTGCACCGAATCACCTCCATGAAGTGATCAATCTGCGTCTGCACACACACACACACACACACACACACACACACACACACACACACACACACACACACACACACACACACACACACACACACACACACACACACACACACACACACACACACACACACACACACACACACACACACACACACACACACACACACACACAGGTCAGGTGTTTCTGATCTTTTTTAATGCAGGTGAGTGATTTACAGGTGGAGCCCCCTGCTGGTCTCCCGAGCGCACAGCCAGCGCTTTTTGCTGCCCTGGAAAAACATTCTACATGGACACGGGGCCAAACTCTTCTCTCTGTGACTGAAACTGCACAATGTCCAATCAGAGCCACTTGTAGGCGTGACATCTTTCCTGATAACTAATCCAGCACAACCACACAGAGGCGATGTATAATAAATCAGTGTAAAGCTGAAGCAGATGCTGATCCCTGTCCTCCTACTGAAAGTTATCATCATGAACTAATTATCAAAACATGACAGGAGTATTGATGCTGATATTTAGAAGTGTCCTTCGATGTTTGCCTGTGTGAGATCAGCTGTTCTGTACCTTCTTCTTCTGGTAGATCAGAGGAGTCGTGAAGAAGATGACATCCGCTGCACACAAAGAAGAAACACGGTCTATGAAATCCAGAACCAACGGGAATCAAACCTCTCCTAACCAACAGGACCGTTTACAGACTCACCGAGGATCAGGATGGTGACGCCGTTAAAGATCGACCCGATGTACGTCATCAACCACATCACCGCAGCCAGCTGGAACAGACGCAGAACATTTAGAGAACATGACCGGAAAAGATTACAGAACATTAACAGAACATAATTCAAAAGAACATTCAGAACATTATATAACATTGTGAGAATATTTAAAGTATAAATTTAGTTTTAAATTTAGCATTAGCTGTCAGTGTTACATTAAGTATTAGCTGTCAGCGTTGCATTAAGTAGCGTTGCATTAAGCATTAGCGTTACATTTAGCATTAGCTGTCAGTGTTACATTATGCATTGGTTGTTAGCATTACATTTAGCATTAGCTGTTAGAATGAAATTTAGCTTTAACTGTAACTATTACATTTAGCATTAACTGTAAGCATTACATTTAGCATTAGCTGTAAGCAATAGCTGTAAGTATTAGCTTTCAACTTTACATTTAGCATTAGCTGTTAGCATGAAAGTTAGCATTAGCTGTCAACATTACATTTAGCATTAGCTGTTAGCATGAAATATAGCATTAGCTGTCATCATTACATTTATCATTGGTTGTTAGCATTACATTTAGCATTAGCTGTTAGCAATAGCTGTAAGTATTAGCTTTCAACTTTACATTTAGCATTAGCTGTCAGCGTTACATTACATTTAGCATTAGCTGTTAGCATGAAATTTAGCATTAGCTGTCAACATTACATTTAGCATTAGCTGTTAGCATGAAATATAGCATTAGCTGTTAGCATGAAATGTAGCATTAGCTGTCATCATTACATTTAGCATTGGTTGTTAGCAATACATTTAGCATTAGCTGTTAGCATTATTCAGCATTAGTTGTCAGAGTTAAATTTAGCTTTAACTGTAACTATTACATTTAGCATTAGCTGTTAGCAATAGCTGTAAGTATTAGCTTTTAACTTTACATTTAGCATTAGCTGTCAGCGTTACATTTAGCATTAGCTGTCAGCGTTACATTTAGCATTAGCTGTCAGCGTTACATTTAGCATTAGCTGTCAGCGTTACATTTAGCATTAGCTGTCAGCGTTACATTTAGCATTAGCTGTCAGCGTTAGCAACATGTTCTGACCTTGAGAGAGTCCACCAAGTCTTCGACCAGCAGCAGCCTCCGAGTCTGATTACTGAACCAGTTCAAATGAGCCAGAGACTGATCAGCCAGCTGCCGGACCGTCTCCGATGACAACGAGATGTCCCTGTCCAACAGAGACCTGAGAGAATGAGGAGGAGCAGGAGGAGCAGGAGGAGCAGGAGGAGAGGAGGAGAGGAGGAGAAAAATAGTGATTTTACACTTTCTATGTTTTATTGTTTAAACTGTTCAAGATGTGTAAATAACGTTTTTAGGGATTTGTATTGAAGTCTGAGTGTGTGTGTGTGTGTGTGTGTGTGTGTGTGTGTGTTACCTGAATGGATGACCTTCGTCTGATTTCTGAACGGCCTGGATCACAGATTTATAAACCCTGCGGACGGGAAGTCAGAGTCATCAAAGTGAGGTACTTCATCATACCTGAGATCTCTACCTGAGACGTCATCATACCCGAGATCTCTACCTGCGAAGTCATCATACCCGAGATCTCTACCTGCGAAGTCATCATACCCGAGATCTCTACCTGAGATTTCATCATACCCGAGATCTCTACCTGCGAAGTCATCATACCCGAGATCTCTACCTGCGAAGTCATCATACCTGAGATCTCTACCTGCGAAGTCATCATACCTGAGATCTCTACCTGAGACGTCATCATACCCGAGATCTCTACCTGCGAAGTCATCATACCCGAGATCTCTACCTGCGAAGTCATCATACCCGAGATCTCTACCTGAGATTTCATCATACCCGAGATCTCTACCTGCGAAGTCATCATACCCGAGATCTCTACCTGCGAAGTCATCATACCTGAGATCTCTACCTGCGAAGTCATCATACCCGAGATCTCTACCTGTGAAGTCATCATACCCGAGATCTCTACCTGAGATTTCATCATACCCGAGATCTCTACCTGAGATTTCATCATACCCGAGATCTCTACCTGTGAAGTCATCATACCCGAGATCTCTACCTGAGATTTCATCATACCCGAGATCTCTACCTGAGATTTCATCATACCCGAGATCTCTACCTGAGACGTCATCATACCCGAGATCTCTACCTGAGACGTCATCATACCTGAGATCTCTACCTGCGAAGTCATCATACCCGAGATCTCTACCTGAGATTTCATCATACCCGAGATCTCTACCTGCGAAGTCATCATACCTGAGATCTCTACCTGCGACGTCATCATACCTGAGATCTCTACCTGAGATTTCATCATACCTGAGATCTCCACCTGAGACGTCATCATACCTGAGATCTCCACCTGAGACTTCATCATACCTGAGATCTCTACCTGCGAAGTCATCATACCTGAGATCTTTACCTGCGAAGTCATCATACCTGAGATCTTTACCTGCGACGTCATCACACCCGAGATCTCTACCTGAGACGTCATCATACCTGAGATCTTTACCTGCGACGTCATCACACCCGAGATCTCTACCTGAGACTTCATCATACCTGAGATCTCTACCTGAGACGTCATCACACCCGAGATCTCTACCTGAGACTTCATCATACCTGAGATCTCTACCTGCGACGTCATCATACCTGAGATCTCTACCTGAGACGTCATCATACCTGAGATCTCTACCTGCAACTTCATCATACCTGAACACCTTTGTAACACCTGATGAGTATGATGAACTCTATTCACAGTGCACGCCCCCAGGTGACCCCACCCTCTCACCTGAAGGTGATGGTGATACACAGGCAGGTGAGCAGCAGGTAGGACACCACACTGATGACCGACAGCGTTGCCACGGAAACAAGGACGAGCAGAGACAGGCCGAAAGCCACGGCAGACTTCTTTGGTTCTTTCCAGTGGACGAGTTCTAAAGCTGCAGGAGAGAGTTTTCATGATATCAACACCTGACTGATACCACGGCAACAAAAATAAAAGCCCAAGACACCCAATGTGGGGACAGTTCTCGTTTTTAATCATCATAAATTGCAGGTAAACTCTTGCAAAAACGATGCAAATGTATTTGTTCATGTAAATTGAGTAGTGGTCTGCATCCTTTTTACTAGTGTGGCTCATACACCAGTATACCAGTATACCAGTATACCAGTATACCAGTATACCAGTATACCAGTATACCAGTATAAAATGCTGAGACCATCATCTGCAGCCGCCTGACGGGAGTGAACGCTGGTTTCCTCTCTGGGGATCTTTGAGGATCATTATCTTAAATATTCTCACTGTTTCTGTCTGCAGTGACGTGTTCACAATAACAAGTTTGCAGGTGATCACATGTGATGTATTAAAATCTGAGGGGTCAGAGGTCAACAGATTAACATCCCTGCAGCTGTAAGCAGCTTTAATTAAAGTCTGAATAACAGAGTCAGCTGACTGTTAGCAAACAGAGCACAATGAGCTCTGTGTGTGTTAACACAGCCGGTTAGCTAACAGCTCTCTTAACACGCTCACTAACAGGACGAATACCTGCAGCAGGTAGTTAGCTTTACAGTTAGCTACAACTTAAAGGGCCATTACAAAACTCATTTTTGAAATAAATCCTGGTGAGCTGAGGTGACTGTTACCATGACAACAAGTTAAACACTGCAAAAAAAACAAAACAGTCGTTAGATTAACTTAAACTTACATTATGAAACATCAACAATCAGCAGTGAGCTCAGCA